ATATATATGTATATTAGTTATTTATTTATTTATACTGGAACCGGGCCGCATACTAATATTAAAATTGCGACCTCTAGTTATTAAATCAAAGAAGAGACAATATAATCAATTATCAGAATAGAGAAACATAAAGACAAAATAATCAATTGGATTTACGTTATCAAAATATTTGAACAGAAATCCCTTAATTCTTAAGTAGTAAAAGAACGTTTTATTTTTATAAGACTTTGTTTAAACTGTCTTCTAAATAACATGAACTAAGTGGTGATTTTAATGATACGCCAATAATTATGCCTGAAGTCCTCTATTTTAGAGACCTACGTGGTGTGTAGCTTCAATGATTTGTTTTAATATAATATTGGAAATGGCTTGCATCTACCAAGCTATCTTCGGCACATGTTGCGACAAAAGATTGACAGAAGATTATTAATAAAAGTTGCAGTTTGTTTCTACAAAAATGGTTTGAACACCAAACTGTTAAGTTATATTATCTGTACAATTGTTAGCTGGGTACCAAGTACATTGGTTTGAGGAACACTGTTGGTTAACCAACTCCACTTTAACAATTTCTCACCAACCTTGAAACTATTTGACAAATAGCTAGCCTTTATACATTCAAGAAAATTACCAGGTATTCGACATGATTTCAACTATGTCAGCAATCTATTTAGTGGAGGCCGTGCCCAATATTAACTTTGTGTCACAGAGCCTCTCTCGCACATGTTGGTGCGAAAAAAATTCCCGTGATCTGGCCACTGCCCAATTATTTTGAGCCGTGACATTAAGATGTCCATCAACAGCCTTTATAAGGAAAGCTGACCAAACTCACCGACCAAATCTCCAACGACCTGCCAACTCCAGACAAACATTTTGCATACACTGCCTTAACATTCATGCTTTACCAAGCTGCAGAAACCACCATCCCAAGGGTCAGGCGCACACCCTACATCCCCTGTAACTCAAGGGCGACTGCAAGTGTGCCCCAGGACATGAAAAGGATAAAAAAAGACTCCAACCTCCTTTGTATTCTCGGTGATAAGTGACGTGAACATTGGGAAGAAGAAATTAAAGACATCAACTTCACCCACTCAGGTCGCAAGAGTTGGTCTACTTTAAATCGTCTTACTGGCCGGAGTTGTCTACCAAAAACCATGCCCAGTGTCTGCGAAGTCAATAATATAAGTTCATTTTGCTAATGGTACATGGAAAGATCGAAGTGAAGAGGCTCTCCGACAACCAAGCCACCAGGTTGCTGGAAACGTAGTGGAATTGACTATGCAGGGATCCAGGTGGGGGCGAAAGTTGGGCCGATCGAGATAACATTTTCCTAGAGGGTCCAGGCGCATGGCCCCGCTAAATTTTTGTGCTCTAGACGCCCGAAAATAACAGATGAGGCGTTCTGGGCTATCATTTTTTTTTCTTTCTTTTTTTCTTTTTTTTTTATCCCCCAAAAGGGGGGACCGGGCCGGGCCGCCCCCCTAAATCCGCCCCTGGGTTGTGACTACCTGGATCCGTCGAAACCGCCTCCGCTCGGAATTCCGACGGACTTGTTCATACCTGAAGAAAATTGGAGCAGAGCCGTCAGATCAGTGTCAATGCGGTGCATCCCAAAATATTGACCATAGTCAGCTCGTGCCAGTCTTTGGGCCTCTAAATGGACGCGCAGGCCTCCTACATCTGGACGAGGACACCATTAGCTGGCTTGAAACCATGGACATACCTGTGTATGTAGCTCCTGAGATGGATTCACACGAACGAACAAATTGAGGCCTGTCAAAGGCTTTCTGGAAAACCATATAAAAACAAACAACTGAATTTTATTCATCCAACCATTGCAACTTAGAATAGTTAAATGACACAAAGTAATTGAGTGTTACAGGAACAACATTTTCTAACTCCATGTTTTTAGGAGAAAATAGAGAATTATTCCAATATTGATTTTTTTTTGTTATAAATCTTAAAATGTTTCTATTTGTTTTACCTTTTTAGAATATAGACTACGTTAGCACTGCTAAGGTAGGGCATGTTTTTATGATTAACTTGTGAAATACGAATGTGATAAGACCCAACAGATTTAGAAATGTCCATATACTAAGAACCTTTCAATTTTTTGGGCTTCAATAGCCAGCTTAGAAAAAATCAGACCGTTTAATACCGATTCAAGGTTAGGCGAAGACAAAACACTTGTATTACAAACAGAGGAAAAGAATTCATTACATAGATATGGAATCCCAAGAAAACCCCTAAATATTTACGATTATGTTTTTAAAAAATCTGTTCGAGTTTATTTTAAAATCTTTAAATTGTTTTTTTTCCCTTATATTTGTGCTCAATTTTGTTAGTCTCATTGTTTGCATTTAAAGTAAATGTCAGATCTCCTAAAAATACTCAACATCCAGAGATTTAGCAGTTTTGGATGATATCTTTAACTTTCTTTAATATACCACAATTTTACTCTTTTATTACATCTGATGTAAAATAAATTCGTTTGTATTAGCATCGATTAGTTTCCAGTGGTTCGCATATTTGTGTCCCTGACAGTCAACACTTAAAACAGAGCGACAGTGGACACTTTCTTCATTAACTCGTATAGTTTCCTATATAAAAATGTCTTGTATACATTTAATCATCAGAAGCAAACTTGTAGATATGGTCGAGTTGCCCTGCGGTCCAACGCTTGCAACAGGCTATATATTATGTTCTTGCTTTGATAAAACAAGTGTCAACAGAGAAAGCTATTGATTCTCAAGGAAACTAGTTTTTAATAGGGTAATATGAATTTTGTATATCAGTTCAAAATTCAAACTCTAATTGCTAGAAGCCTGTTTGGATCACATGCAACTTAAATGGATATTTATGATCATATTCCCATGTTAATGTTGTTTGCTTTTAGTAACATGCATTTATTGGTCTCAGAATATGCTTCCGACTGATTTTACTTCTGTAAACATACCCAAGATGTAAAGCAAGTTCTACTCTTAAAACAGTGACAACCTGACAACGCCAATTCAACTTCCCGTGTTTGTATTAATAATTATTAGGATACACTTTAGTCATAAGAATAACAAATCTAGGTTTTTAAGACAGTCAGACTTAATAATATATTATCAATGTTGGTGTATACCGTTAATAAAGCCTATCTTTAATTTACGTTTTTCATTATCATTATGCCCTTTTGGTAGAGCTAGTGATATATTTTGGCCACTTTATTTAATGCATATTATGCCTTCTCTGATTCGATCAAATGATTTCTTCAAAGGTCTTTCCTGCAGCACAAACAGTTAAGTCAGCTTTTTGGGTAAAACTACAATCAATCTCTTCATACATCCATCTGGTACTGTACCTACGGTAAGTAGGCCTACTTCATTGAAGAGATAATACAATGCAAGTCTTTCATGATTTTAACATTTTGACTGTCATTCCATCAAATCCGACTACTTGTTACCATTATTTATTTCTTACCTTATCTCTTCTAGAATAGAACTTGCCGGATTGTCAATCAAACATAACATCTGCAGACCAATCAGAGCATCGTTAAGACTACGCGCTTCTCCCTCAAACACATCTGTGTCCCACAAACGCACGTGTTTACGCACGTCTACTTTATCTTTTTTTGTGAGATATTAGCACCATTATCCAAGGGCGGGGTTTAGCGGAATGGTTAATTGATGTTAATATTCCTAAACTCGGGTGCTATTATTTTAGGAATTTCTCAAGTGCCGCCAACTGATGTATTAATTAGTTTTATAAGAATACGTATAGAACGGATGTATACTCAAGTGACAGTCATAAAACAGCATTTTATTGATATTTGTTGAAACGTTTATATTCTGTAAACCATCCTGTCATCAACATCTTTTAATCAATTTGATAAGTCTTTGTACTAATTGATCTATTGTTTGGGAGAAAAGTTTAAAGTGTATTGATGCTGATCATCAGCAAGACCACCTTTTCTCATATTTATTACTTTTTAAAGGTACTGATACCTATAAATTATGAATTTATTATTCATGTTCTTATCACGTTGTCTTTTTAATGTTATATATTTAAATAAAAATCCACCATGAGCTTATTTTTGTATTGCCTACGTACATTTGACATTCCTTAACTTTAGTAATTATTACTGGTTTTGAAAATGTTTAGAGGCATAAAATAACAATTATCTATTTGAGTCAGTTCAATTAAATTCAATTTTATTAGCTGCTAGTGCCATTAAGTGCAAATATCCGCATCAACAACATATATTTACAATACTTATATACAATAAATAAAACAAGATAATAATCCAATTATTAAATAAAAGGATGTTTAAACTATTGGACCCATTCTATTGTTGTTAAAAGAAGTATGACTTGCTTAATATCTCCTGTTGTGGCGGAGAATGGGTCAATGTTAACAGTATAAAAAGGGATAGTGAATAAAGAAGGGGGAATTTTGAAATCGAGACGTTTTGGCATTGAATCGGAGATGGGATGATTGACGGTTTTTAAGAAGGGACATATCTATTGTTCTGACAGGTGGAAGGAAAAAGTTCAGCAGATGATCGGTAGATTGGACTGTTTTGCACATTTTTAAGTAGAGAGTACTTTTGCCTTTTTTCAAAAGGAGTGATGTTATACTATTTAAAAAAAAACCAGAAAGGTAAGATGAGGAAGTTCAATCGTTAGAAATTAATTTAGCAAAGAGCAGATCAAGACGACGAAAATGGACATATAACATAGTTGAAAAAGGCCATATGAACTACAAGAAAATTCAATAGAAGTTCGGATCAAAGATTTATAAAGATGAACTAAGGAGGTAGAGTCAAGTATGGATTTTAGACATTTAAGTATTGACATTTTACGGACTGTCAATTTGTATAGGGAGGATATTTGTGAATGCCATTTGCGATCATTTTGGATATTATTATTCCCAAGTTCAGATAGAGTTCACAACTTCAATAAGTTTGTCATGGGGAGAAAAAGAGGAGGAAATACAGCCGGAACTTTAAGAAAATCAATATTTAAAATGTTGCATCTGTGAGGGGCAAAAAGTCAAACCATTGGAAATGACCCAAGATTCTAATAATGAGGCAACATAAGGCCAATTGTCATCACCACACAAAGGTCTACTGGGCAAGTCGGCCCTGATACTTCCAATCAAAATTTAAACTCCTAAAGTGAAGGGAATGCATTTATTTTTTAAGCATGTGTGCTACTTCCCGGCAGAGAGCCATTTTTCAAACATGGTTTGTTTGTTATCAAGTCCACTTAGACTAACTTTAAATTCTGTATCTGCCCTGCATGATGGGGCGGGAATGGGGGTAGCTGCTTTGCAGCAGGTTCTAGCTGCTATTTCTGGGCATAAAGAGATGCCATATTTTCAAAATTTGTTCTCTTGGGATGTAGCAACCTCAGTAGAGGCTGAGGTGGTTAGGAGCTTTAGTCCCACTTTAAATCGTGTCTGCCCACATACAGGATGGAAAATGGTGAGGCTCTACAGGTTTGCCAGCTGCTATTCCTGGGCATCCACAGGTGCGCCATATTTCCCAAATAGGTGGGGCTGAGGTGGGTATACACTCCATCCTCATGGTAACTTTAAATATTGTGACTGTCCATTCAAGGGGACAGGTGGCGAGCATCTATTTCTGGGAACTCAGGTGCCAAAAATTTGTTCAATCAATCATCATCAATTTATTCCACATTTCCTTTTTTCATAACAAATAATATACACTTTGTGGAAAAGGAAAAACCACGACAAGCAAAGCTTTCAGCAGTGGGTCCCTTTTTAAATAAATTAAATGTATATTTATAACATGAAGAAAAGACAAATGAATAAATAAATATAAAGATATTAATAATAATAATAATAATAATAAATATAATTTAACAGTGTTAATGGCTATAAAGATTTATATACAGTGTCCTTTATTCGGACACTGTATTTACCTTTCTTTGATGATAGTACCATAGTGAAATGATGTAGCACGTTGTTCCATAATAAATATAGTGGTAAAGGCGATGACAATAAACACAAGTCAAGTTGACGTATTTTTGAAACATAATTTATTTGACACGAATATTTCGTCCACTCCTGTGGACTTCATCAGCGTAAGTGATATACATTAGAGATAATTAACTACAAGTTGCTGAAACTTAATTGGCCAACCAACCGTCCATGCATTGTTGATAGGCCAATTAAGTTTCAGCAACTTGAAGTTAAGTATCTCTAATGTCTACGCCGGTAAGTCCAAAATATTCGTGTTTAATAAATACAGTAGTTCCAAAAATACGTCAATCTGACTTTTGTTTATATTGTCATCACC